GAGAGAGAGTAAAACCTTTCCTGCCTCACCTTCCTTTGAATCACGATCCTCTGGATTTTAGCCTTCTAAGTAGTTAGTGTTGCAGACGTAAGCCACCAGAACCTGGCTGCATATATAACTCACAGTAGTTTTCTCAGTGCCTTGGTATTAAGAAAACATTCCAGTTTTGTAGCAATATTTCAAAGTGGCATTTCCCTCTGAAGCCAAATGTTACTTTATTGCATTTTGGTTTTTGTCACAGGGTTTAGACAATAGAAAATAGAGGCAGTAATCACAGCTAAGTCTTTCAAGAAGACTCAGCAACCTTGATTGAGTCAAAGCTGAGACATATTCTCAGATAGACTTAAGAAATACTTTGGAGGGCTGGGAAGGTGGCTCAGTGGTAGAGCACTTGCCTTGCATGTCTGAGGCCCTGGGTTTGATTCCTCAGCACCACGTAAGCAAAAAGAAAAAAGCCGGAAGTGGCGTTGTGGCTCAAGTGGTAGAGCGCTAGCCTTGAGCTGAAGAGCTGAGGGACAGCACCCAGGCCCAGAGTTCAGGCCCCACGACCGGACCCAAAAAAAAAAAAAAAAAAAAGAAATACTTTGGAGGGGCTGGGAAGGTGGCTCAGTGGTAGTGCTCTTGCCTTGCATGCATGAAGCCCTGGGTTCAATTCCTCAGTACCACCTAAGCAAAAAAGAAAAAAGCCAGAAGTGGCGCTGTGGCTCAAGTGGTAGATCGCTAGCTTTGAGCTGAAGAGCTGAGGGACAGCGCCCAGGCCCAGAGTTCAGGCCCCATGACCAGACTCAAAAAAAGAAATACTTTGGAGTTTGACTTTGTTTATTCATTTGCTTTCCTTTTATACTTTCCAGACGTGCCACTAGCACCAAGTAATGCTCTGAGATCAAAGTTACATGAATACTTTGGACTTATAAAACATTGGATAATTATTTGGCATCTTATGGTCACTGCAAAAAGAACGAACTCATTCTAATGGAAAGAAACTTTAAGTTACTTCTGTAGATATAGTTATATCTCTCTATCCATTTACGAGTGCAATAAATCATTCAATTGCTAGATTTGAAAGTCTGTTTTGTCTTTTTCTATATCTAGAGAAATGGGGGTACTGAGGTGAAAAAACTCTTCTGAGTTTTTGGAATAATAATACATACACATTAACAGAGACCTTATTATAGTTAAACCAAGTGGCACACTAGATGTTTCCCAAGGTTGTGAATTCTTCCTTCAGGCACACAATGAGCTACATTTTCCAGCCTCCCTTGCAGCCAAGAATTGCCATGAGACTGAATGAAGATACAGGTGACACATGCCACTTCTAGGCCTGTAGAAAATTCTGCCTGGAAGTAATCTTGCATTTAATTCCAAGAGGAGATGGGACCCCAGTATGGAAGAAGCTTGCTCCCTGCCACAGCAGACTGATAACCAGAACCACAAGAAATCTTATATGAACAAGAAAAAAAAGGCCTATGTTGGTAAGCCTTTGAGATTTGGGGGCTTTTTGTTGAAACTAATGCTGAGTTCTCTCAGGCACCTGACTTTTGGCTGTTCTCTCTCAAGCATCCTCATAACTACTCTGCAGGTAGCAACCATTGTCTTTATCCTTATTTTTAAAGATAAGACAACTCAGAAACTTTAATTGCCTTACTCCTGGTGATGTAATTGAGAAGTGGATTTGGTTATACTGGCTCTGAAGAAATGTACTGTTGGCTTTGCCAGGTTAATTCACCAATAGCCATCCAGAAAAAGATAGCAAAGTTAAGAGAGCCAGACAGTATTATGTCATTCTTTTATCTGGCAGTACTGGGGTTTGAACTCAAGGCTTTGCGCTTGTAAAGCAGGTGTTCTATTGAGCCATGCCTCCAGCCCCAACTCTGTTTTACTGCTACTTAGGTTAACAGAGCTAATTCAGAGTTTCAAACCCAGGTAATTCCAAATCCAAAGTTTCTGCTCCTAAACACCTTCACATATTTAAAAAAATTAAAAAAAAACACTTAAATAAAAAATTTAAATCTGTTTATTTAAATATAAGAATATAAAAATGTGTCTATTTGTCTATATCATGTGATCTTTCCATACACATATACACCGTGTAATCTTTGAATCAGCATTCATGTAGCTATCTCTTCCAACATTTATTATTTATTATTACACATACTAAAATCCCAAACATTTCTACTGCTTAGTGGCTTGGACTTCTTATGCACCTAAACAGTGAACTGAAATCCCACAGTTACTGTCACTAGGTTTTCTTTCTTAGTTTTAAACTGACAAATTAGTAATGTATTTTGAACATTACACAAGGTATACATGTATTATGCTTTGTAAATGTGTACAATTTTGTCTATCAGTTAAAACAAATTTAAATTTAAAAAAAGCACCAAAACTCTCAGAGGAAACTCTATCTAAGCTCTTGCATTTATTTATTTTTATTTTATTAAAGTAACAGATAACAGATGATAAGTAAAGAAAGGCTTTGTTAACTGGCAACTCCTTAATGCAACTACTTATAGATAATAATTTTAAAAACTAATTAAATAAAAAAAATTCTTGGAGAAAAGAAAAAGAAATGAATCCAGGACCAGATCCTGTAACGAAGGTCATTAATGTATCCTTGAATAATCTTTTTCATATTATGAATTAGAAATAAATATATATCCCCTGTTTCTAGTTATTATAAAGATAAAGAATAATTGAGCATTCCAGGGTGGGAGTTTCTTGGAAATTTTCTCTACAAAAATCTTTCCATCAACTGGAAGAAGGCTGGCTTTGCAAATCATTGCTAAAAATTCTAGATGCAAATACTGGAAGGCCTGGGACGTTCCTCTGCCCACAGATTAATTTTATAAATTACAACAAGGGAGACAAGAAAAGCATAAGATGTTCTGCAAATGTCTTGCAATGAGTTTTATGCTGTAGATGTTATGTCAACAAGACAGGTGCTATTAAATTACAAGAGGTGATCCAGTAGTACATTGTGAAATCAATTCAGTGGGTCATGACCAGTCTTTAAAAAAGAAAGAAAGAAAAAAAAGACAGAGCAATAGGATGAATTACAAGAAAAATAAGAGAAGCAATGAACATGATAAGAATGTGCTCAACTGGATGGTGAGGTTAAATATATACACACATATATATTTATATACACATATGTATATATACATACACACACACACACACACACACATATATTGCAATAGGGCTATTTTCTAAATTAGCTAGACGGCCTTTATGATGTTCCTGATGCTTCTTTATATTTATATGTATGTTATTTTGTGCAAATGTCTGTATCTGAATTCTTTTATCTAAGATCAGAGATTACTCTTTTATTTATTCAATGACTGTAACACACAGGTAATGTATTAAAAGACATATATCATAGTTAGTGGAAGCTTTAATCAATTCAAAAATAACTCCGAACAGAATTCAAATATTGGATGGATCACGTGTTTTTGATCCAATCTGCTATTTTTCTTCTTTTGATTGGAGAATTCAGTCCATTAATGTTTAGGGTTATTACAGAGAGATGTGTCATGTTTCCTGCCATTTTCTTCATTTCCTGTATTCATTACATATATATCACATATATATATATTCCTGTATATTATATATATATATATATGTATATATTCTTTTTCTATGGGGTCGAAGAATCTAAAAACATTTCTATTAGACAGACCTGTTGAGTAGTGACAGACAACACGATAAAGAAACTTCAAATGGAGTCACCATTGTCAGTCACAGCTGCACACACTTCTGCTTCTCTCAGGATAGATGGAGGGGTGTGGATGGAGAAACTCAAGGCACATTATCCCATAGCCTTATAACAATTGTTTCAGAGTCCGTGATGAAGGGAATCAAAGGCAAGCCATATTAGTTTTCTATTGCGGCATAGCTAATCAGTGGCTTAAAACAACACTCATTTACTATTTCATCTATTATTCCTGCAAAGGCAGGAATGGGGCAGGGTGGAGCTAGGCTCTCTCCTCAGACTCATGTGGCTGAGACTACAAATAATCACTGTAGTTAATTTAGCTTTAAGGCTTTATACTTCTACAGCATTAACTCTCAGTAGCAGAATCTGAGGCACCACCTGAAGCTTTCTATTCTGTATTATCTTCCTTCCCTGTGTCCAAATTACTATTAAAGATTCCTTCTCACCAGACAGGATGGCTTGGGCATCACTGAGGAGCTTATTGAAAAGCAGTCTTGGAGCCAGGCATGGTGTCTCATGCCTATAATCCTAGCTACTCAGGAGCCTGAGATTTGAAAAGCTCAGTTTGCAGCCAGCACCAGCAGGAAAGTTCATGAGACTCTTATCACCACATAAGCAAAAAGTTAGAAGTAGAGCTGTGGCTCAAGCAGTAGAGTGCTAGCCTTGAACAAAAGAGCTCAAGGACAGCACTCAGGCCCTGAGTTCAAGTCGTAGGACCAGCACATATATGGTCTTAGGCCATATTCCAGACCTAATGAATCAGAAAGCACAAAGAAACCTTCTAGAACACAGATATTTGAGAAGAACCAATTCAGCCTGATTATGCTACTTAAAATACAGAAGCTGATAAATGTACCTGAGGAAGTTACAGATAATCATAGATATGAATGGTCTTAAAAAAAAAGCAATACAAAAATCAGAACAAAGAATTAGTAGTGAACACTTCCTGGGTCATAAAAAGTTGTGAGACTAGTAAAAAGAAAAGGATACAGATGTTTCAAATGAGTTGACCTTCTACACTGACGATATCCATTGTCTTAATATAAGTTGGCCATAGTCATGTGACACATTAGTAATTCGGAGGCACATTACATTTGTAATGCTTATCTACTGAGATTAAGAAGATAGAGGAACTATTGACAGCATGATCTGGATTAGAGACAGACCTCCATGTGCTATACATCTCATTTTTGGCTGTCTCTCCCAGGAAATGGTTCTGCTGATAGCCTGGTTTACGCCTACTCTGTCCATTCAGTAGGCAGCACTATTTCTCACAATATCCACTTACCTCTTGGGGTTGTTGGTATTGAGAGGCCATCAGAAGGAAAGCCCGCTGGGCCTGGAAAGCTCCGTGCACCATTTCTGCCTATGGATAAAGAGAATGGCAGTTTGAATGTCTGAGTGCCTAAACAACTCATTACCATATAACCTAGCAGGTCCAGGCCTAGAATAGACCCGAGGAAAAAAATGTAAGCAGATGTTCACACAAAAACCTGTGTTTGTGGCAGCATTATTCACACTAATGTTAAAACAGCATGAAATGTCCACCAACTCATGACTGGATAAACCAAGTGTGATGTTGCTATAAAGTAGCATATTATTCAGCCTTAAAAAGAAGTATAAGACAGTCACATTCTCCAACATAGGTGAATCTTGAAAACATTATGCTGAATGACTGAAGCCCAGTCACAAAAGGGCACATTTGTATGATCCCATTTATAGGAAATGTCTGGAATAAGCAAATCTACAGAGACAAAATAGATTAGTGGTTGCCAGGGGCTGGCAGGAGGGAGAAATGGGACATGAACTGCTGATGGGTAGAGGATTTCTTTTGGGGGTGGGGTGCTGCGAATGTTTGGGAATTAGACAGTTTGTGATCCCACCTTGGTGACCCAGTAACTAGAACACATGGAATCACAAGGATGAATGTTAAGATATGTGCATTGTATCTCAACAAAGCTGTTTCCAACATTTGAGCCCCAGTTTTCAAAGAGGAGGGTGTCTCTCTCTCTCTTTCCAACTCTGCTCAAAATCTGTTATACACTTTCTATTGGGGGTTCGGGATTTAGATCAGGAAAAGAGCTCTTGCTCAGCAAGTGGAAGGCCCTGAGTTTGGTCCTTAGGCACTACAACAACAAACACGAAAAGCTAAACCCAAAGACTTTCTTTTGAAAAGAGAATTGTCTCTAAGACATCTCCATGAAGATCTGTTCACTGGGTGTCAAATGAACCCAGAAAATATATTTTAATAACATTTAATGTCTTTCATTTTTTTATTATCTTTAAGTAGTTGTACAAAGAAGTTCCCATTCTACAAGATGGTATATGAATACAAAGTGTCTGATAACATTGTCACCCATAGCTCCTAATCCCCCCCTTCTCTTGCTTTTCTTCTTTAAAAATGGAGAAATGGAGATTAGGTGATTACATAAATTTCACATTTCACAGTATTGTGGAATAGTAATACTTAGAGTCACAGACATATTTTCACCTTCACAAGGCAAATTGTCATTATCATGGTCTATAAAGTTTGTGAATTCTATGAGCTTTGACAATACAATTATTTCTTCCATATCAGGTGATATTTACATTTCTTTCCTTTTGCTTAGTGTAAGCTGTTCCTTCTTTCCCTCCATTTGATGTCTTAATAGAAGGGCTGGCATGTAGACTCAAGATTACCCTCCCCCCCCAAAAAGATATACATTTGGGAATGACGTTAATACATATTCTCTTCTCCTCACTCCCTACTCACGCTAAGTGTACCAAGAAAAAGTAATTTTAAATACCCCTACCACTCAGAATTAACTATATCTGAGTATTTGACCTAGGTGTAAGATAATACGTATTGGCTTGGAATAATTTGTTACAAGCAGCATGCTTTGAAAATTAAAGCTTTTTTTAATGCTTGACATCTTAGAGATAATCATGATTAACAGTAGATGAATGTCATTGTAATCAACTATTAAAATCCAGTGCAGGGGGGGTGGGTTGTATAGCTAGAGAGTACTTGCATAGCCTGGGCAGGGTTCTGGGCTTGAGCCACAGTTCCACAACTATTCAGAGACTTACAGATTAGAGTTATACTTAGTATTATTTTTTTAAAAAATAAAATTATACATTTTAATCATAATTGAATAACATTAGAGATGAAAAAGTAAAAGGGCTGTAAAACTTCAAAGAAAAGAATTTCAGCAGTATAGATGTTATTATGTCCTAAATTATCTTCCTAAGGTTAAAAAAGGAGTATAAAATAGAAAGAGATTGAAATAATGACATGCTTGCATTGCAAACAACACGCTATAATTTTCTACAATATTGGTTGACTGCTTGCTGAGAAAGATGAGAAAATAACTTCTTACCTTTTCCCCTCCATCCATTTCTGGTCTCCTACCTTCCATATTTTCTAGTTATTATTCTTATTCTGATAAGTTTTTGTCATTGATAGACTACCTGTAACCCCAATTTCCACAGTTGCATAAATGTTCTACATTTAAGCAAATGGAATGTGGTCACCACCATTTAACCACTTCTGGGTAATCTGAATGTTTTGTCATTGGTTGGATATTTGATATTGAGTATTTTCAATGAGGTTGAAAATACTCAGAGTTGCTCTCTTCTCTGAGGTTTAAGCATGCCTCCTTGCTGTCATCATGTCTGTGTTATTCTTGGTGGCTTTTCCTTCCCCATGGCTCAAGACGAGATGATGGCATTTGTCCAGTAGGAAACTGACTTACTCTGGTTTGATTCTGAGAGAATTATTTCTTTATCATTGAGGTTTAACAGCTTTATGATTTGGGTCTTGAACATTTCTATATTACTTTTCCTTTTTGGAATAGTTTTGGTCCTTTTCTCATTGCAGGGAAATTTCTTACTGTATTTTTCAATATATTTTCTGGTCTATTTATGAGAGCTTTTGCTAAGTGATTCTAGTACAGAGAGAGACAAAGGATGTATATTTTCCCTTATATGCAGAGGTTAGATTTAGCTTATAAACTTTCAAGTAAATATGTTAGGTGGTATATGTTAGAAGTGTATACAAATGTATTAATTAAAATATGATAGATTCAAGAGAGAACTTGAATACTGCAATTCCTTAGAAAGGCAAAGTTAAAACTCAGTAAAATAAAACACCAGGAAGTGGGTACTTGAGAGGGGTTGGGGTCAAGGGGGAAGGGGTATACAAGAGAAGAGAAGCAGGGAAGAATGTATTCAAGAATCTAGTATGTATCCTACAAAATTAAGAACAGGGAAGGAAGGGGTGAATAGGAAAGGGATGGTGACAATGTTGAAAGGGGTAACACTGATCAAGATACATTGATCAACATATCATAAACTGCCTTATTAAATGGCAACTCCTTTGTACAACTACTTAAAGTAAATAAAAAGGGCAAAAAAGAGATTCTAATGGTTGCTTCACACTGATTAATATAGAATGTCTCCACAGATTTTAGATTCTGTCCTTAATTACATTGCCTACCTAATTTCATTGTTACCTGTGATCACATATTTTTCTATTATTAAGCAAAATTTCAACAAGTCTCACCTATGTTAAAAATACAAACACTTTTTGTGCATTAATGCTATATTTAGTTTTTGACTTGTTAGATTTTTCCATTCTGTTTTTTTATTCCATAGATCTCTATATGTTTAAAGTTACTTTTATACTCTTGTTGAATTCTCAGAATATAAATTACATTCTTATTAAACGGCCATGAAGAATGTATTTCTGCTGCTTAAGTTAGTTTTCTTCAAGGATGCTACAGTTTGGATCTAGAGTGTCCACCAAAAGCTCATCTATAAAGCGTTGTGCCATAGTCCTTAGTGCTACTGGGAGAAGCTAGAATCTGAGAGGTGGGGCCTACTGGGAGGTCTTTAGGTCTTTGAAAGGGGGATCTTGAAGGGGATCCTGGCATCTTGCTCTCTTTTGCCTCTCATTTTTTCCTTTTATTGCAGACCATGAGGTGAACAAATTCTTCTGCCATAGATACACTCTTTTCTCACAGAACCAAAATCCATAAACCAATGGATTAATGATTTCAGGCGTTTTGTTTCAGTAATGAACACACAAAAGAAGAGTTGGGGCCTTTCTACTTTGCAGGCTATGCTGTGCCTTACCACATGACTTTTAGCTACAATGTTGATCTTTTTCATCTTGCCCATGCTTAACTCACTATGTCCAGATAAATGTTTTCAGATAAAACACAGGTGATTTCTTGAGTCTCTTGAAACCATATTGGAGACCAGTGTATTTTCTTTTCCATCAGCAGCTGGAGGTGAGATGCTTTGTGTGGTCTCTTCTTCTAATGGCCCATAGGAACGGAGAACAGGGAAAGTAATTGCTCCACAGTGGTGGTGTCCAAGCTTTACTTAAGTCTTTGGGTGCTGCTTACTCTGGGATTTCCCCCACTTATGAAATAGGCTCGTGCTATGACACTCAAGCGTGTTTGGAATTCTATGTAGCTAAGGCTGTCCTCAAACTCTTGAGATCCTCTTGCCTCAACCTTCCAAGAGTTAGAAACCAGTATTGCTCAACTGCTGTCTGTTACTGGTCTGTATTGCTTAGATTGTGTTTTTTTTTGTTGTTTAGTTTCTGTAAAGAAGTTGATTTATTTTATTTTACTTTTTAAATCCTGCATCTCCCTCATCCTTCTTTATTTGTGGAAAGAGAATTATTCTTTCCTAAAAAGAAATCTCCCCCAAGAGAATTCAGTATTTTTTGGTCACAGATTTATATTCTTTTTTCACTTAATGATTTCATCTTTACTCTTCTTGCTAGCTGCATATCTGTTAGGGGACAGCTTCTATTTCTGCTGTTTTGATTATAACTTACTTGTATGATATTTAGCTAAGAAGTGAATTGATATATTTTTAAGAGCAGAGTCCTCTTATAATTACATGAGGATTAGGTTAATTTCATCCCAGTGTCAATACCAGTGAATTTTCTGGGCTCCACGTATAAATATATTAACTCAACAGGAAATAACTAGGTTTTTATCACTCCATCCATGATGACATTTTAGCATCTATAAATTTTCCAAAATTTGTTCTAAAATGGGCACCTTTCCCTATTGCTTCTCATTGGCATTTTTCCCAAAAAGAAGATGCTTGAAATCAAACCAAGATTTGTAGACTGTTTACATTTATAATCACAAAAGCAATCCTCATCAACACAATAGATTGCTTAAAAACATTTTGAAACATATCATCTTCTTCCCTTCTCTTTTCCCTGGTCAAAGTATCAAATTTCTGATAGTAATTAGGGAAGAAAAGAGAGTTATTAAAATTTCACTGGCCTGGAGAACATTAAGGAATTCTGATGTTCCAAGCTGTGCCCATGTTTTCTCCATGAATCAAGACACATTTTTT